GGGATTAACATAAGAATAAAAAAATAAAATAAAATAACAAATATACAGTAAAAAAAATAAAATAAAATCTTTAAAAATTTTTTGATAAAAAAAAAAAGAAAATAGTTGTTACATCAGAGTGATAGAAGGTTGAGGTAGGTGGGGCACAGATTGAGGTGAATAGCAAAGCCAGCAGAATAGAAAGAAAAAAAGCAAATATAAATCAAGTTCATTTGTGAGAATCTCAAAAGAAAAAATAATTCAAAATGGAAGATAGTTCAGAAATCATCTAATCAGTCCTACCATTTTACAAACGAGAAAACTGAAGTTCAAGTAGGTCAAATATCAGGCAAGTCAGCAGAAGAACCAAAGTAAAACCTAGACCCCTGACCCTCCCCACTCCCAAACCTATGGAAAAATAGCTAGAACACAGGAGGCTGAAAAGTGATAAGGTTTTGACCCATGAGACAGGAAAAAGATATTGATAAGGAAAGAAATCAGATACCTCAGAATCTAATATCTCCTAGTCCTCAACCACTCTACCAGACAACCTTTACAAAACAACTCTTAATACCTACTACCATTCCAACAAACATGTGATCTTGTCTTTGACCTGACTGAACCTCCATTTCTTTGCTTCTTCAACCCAATCGTCTCTCTAAATTCTTGGAACCTAATATTTTTGCTCAAATTGGGGAAAAAAAAAAATCTAGTCTCAAGGTATTGTGAGAACGTCCCGGCTCCCTCTAAAAACATAATATTTTTAATGAAGCATAAGAATAATAAAAAATATAAGTACCAAACATTTGGAAAAAACAGTATTTTAGAACAAGGGCTTGCAAACTACATCTTACATGCCAAATCTGGCCTGCAGACTGCTTTTATATCACCTACAAGCTAAAAATAGTTTTTTACATTTTTAAATAGTTGTTTAAAAACATACAGAGAGAAGAATGAGACTGATACCCCATATCTGGCCCACAAAGCCTAAAATATTGACTATCTGGCCCTTTACAGAAAAAGCTTGCCAATCCTTGTATTTAGAGTATTTACTGAGTATTTGCCTTGTAAACAGAAAATATTTTCTCATACTATAATCTTTCAGTTTAGAAAGTATAAAAGTTTGGAGGTTCAACTGACTTTTAAAACAAAGGACTCTACCTGTACATTAAACATAATTGAAAAATATTTCAATCCTTAAAGCAAATGATAAAAAAATATGTAATTTTTTTAAAAATTACTGATTTCTTAGATATAGCCTTCATCACCCTATTTCTCCTATTCAACCTCTCACCCAACATACTATTTTGTATAGACTTAACAGGTGTTGGACAGCTGCAGATCCCTCACCCATCCAGGGATTGTTCAACTTCAAATGAAGATGATTCAAAACAAATAAAAATAAAATAAATAAATAAATAAATAATTTTTAAAAAGAAGATTCAACCTATTCAGGGCTCTGACTCAAGCCCCTGTTATTTCTGACCTACTAAATCTCTATCCATTCACCTCTCCCATTTTTCACTTATTTCATTAAAATACTTTAAAAGACAGCATTAATTAGACCTATTAATTACATGTAGATTTATATGCTACTCAAAAATAAAGTGTTCTCATTAACTAATACATATAATTACAACTTAGGGTAGACTTACTCACTTTCCTCCTCAAGACTGCTACTCTTCTCTACCAAAGTAGTACAGAATTCTAATCAAAAAACATAATTATTAGGGAACCTGGCTGGCTCAGTCAGTAGAGCATCTGACTCTTGATCTCGGGGTCATGAGTTCAATTGCGCCCCACACTGGGTATGGGTGATTACTTTAAAAAAATAGATGACTGGGACGCCTGGGTGGCTCAGTCGGTTAAGCGTCTGCCTTCAGCTCAGGTCATGATCCCAGGGTCCTGGGATCAAGTCCCGCATCGGGCTCCCTGCTCCGCGGGGAGCCTGCTTCTCCCTCTGCCTCTGCCTCTCTCTCTCTCTCTCTATCTCTCATGAATAAATAAATAAAATCTT